CTGCCTTCTCCGCCATGAAGGCGAAGCTGTATCCCGAGGCGGACCGCGCGTCGCGAGAGGAATTTATTCGAGCCAAGTATGAGAAGCGAAGGTTTGTCGATCCGCCACACGATACGAGGTGAGAGGGATAGGGTTTTGCTTCGTTGTTGTCGACTAATTTTGTAGAGGCGTGTGTGTTCGTTAAGAAGGAAGCGTGTGTGTTTTAGGAATGGTGCTCTAGAAAGGTTTGTTTTTATTTTGTGCAAGAGCATATGTGTGTGTGTTCATTGTGGTGATCCAGAGAGCTTTGTTTGTATTTTCGCAAGAAGATGTCTATGTATGTGTGTGTTAAAGAAGGCAACGCGTGTGTTTTAGAATGGTGCCCCGGCCAAAGGTTACGGATAGGGTACCACAGTTTTAACTCGTCCAGCCAGACACGTTTTTAATCCAGTCATGCCCAAAACAGTGTTAAACCCTCACCTTTATCTTCGGCAAAAAAGGAAGGAACGATCGGCCATCGGTGATCGGTCCTGTGTGAGCAATTCTTCGTCCTCTCTCGAGGACGCGTGGGCAATGGTCTAACCACTACGGCATGCAAAGCATGAGTACCCCCAGCCTCCGTTTTTCACTCACCCGGCTTCTTTTCCCTCTCGTTTCCTACTCCAATGACTGTCCTCATCGGCGCAACTCACTCACAATCCGTTTCTTTTGCCCCTTGTTGTGCCGCCGCTTGCGTGCTACCCTTGCAAATATCGTTGCTTGATGATGATGATGGTGATTGTCCAGTCCCGAGGTAGCTTTGTCCTCGAGCCGACTGCTCTTCGACGCCTGCAAGGAAGGGAACATGTTGGAGGCGATGTGGTGCTTGGCCCACGGCGCCGACGTGAACTGGACCGACACAACGGGGGGGGGTGAGGAAGAGGAGTGTTTGTTTTCTGACTTTTTCTTGTTGTCGTTGTCGTTGTCCTAACTGCTCTGCTGCTGTCGGCGTTGTTGTTGTTTTCGTTGCTGCTGCTGCATGCTGATGCTGATGCTGCTGCTGCTGCTGCTGTGGTAAGGTTGTCTTTCTCACGCTTTTCTCTCTGGTGTTGGTCTGCGGGTGTGTGCGCGGGCCAAAAAAAAAAAAACACACACACACACACGGACCGCCAACAGGTTACACTGCTGCTCACGAGGCGGCAAGAGGATCCCGAGTAGCCCTGTTGGAGCTACTGGCGAACAATGGCTGCGACCTCAGCGCCACGAGCGAAAACAAGGTATGAGCCAACACGTGTATGCGTTTTTTCTCTTACCGCGGTTGTTTCTGTTGCCAAAGCAGTGCAACAGCAGTACTGAGTTCGCACGTTGGCGGTGTCATGGACGGCTTTTTAGTCCGTGGTCGTGACGTTCAAGTAGCGGACATCGGGCATGGGAGCTCCATTAACAGTGTTTGTTCGTTCACACTGCCGTCTGAGTTCCCCTTTGCAAACACGTCTCCGCTCTCACTCCCTCGGCTACACATGCCCGCTCACCGCTGTATCTCCGTCTCCTAGCCTTTTGTCCCTCTCAAGGGAGAGCACCTCGTGGGATAACGCACACGGCATTGAGCACCCCTCCCCCCCCCCCCCCCCCCCCC